CTCTGGCCCATTGAGGGAGGGGGCCACCGCGGCCCGGAGAGGCCCTGACACCCCTGGCTGGGAACCCCCTTGGTCTCTCCTGAGGGCTGTGGGTGGGACCTCCTCCTCCCCTAGAGAGGTTGGCTGGGCCGGAGAAGGGGCCCTTCCCTTCCTCCCTCTCACCCCCTCCCTCCCTGCTGCAGCCAGGCAGGAGAGGCTGAGAAAGGTGGTGCAGGGGGGGAAGCGCCGCGCCCTGCCCATGCTGGCCAGGCGCACCGGTAGCTGCCCCCTCGCTTGCTCCTCCACCGGCCAGCTACAGCACCGCCCATGCCGCCGCATGTCCTCCTCCTGCAGCCGGCAGAGCTCCTCCTAGCCCCGGCGCTCCTCCCAGCTGCTGGCCAAGCGTGCCGGCGGTCGCCCCTGCCTCTCCTCCCGTGCCTTAATGGCTGGCTCATGCTCTAGGCAAAGGCCTAGTTCGCCTAGCGGGTGAGCCGGCCCTGTATAGGTGTTTAAAGAAGCCTCTGAGTCAAGATGAGGGAGCTGGAGTGCTGGGTGCTAAATGACAATTGAAATATAGAGGGTATCTCAGAAACATGGAGGAACAGGGAAAATCTATGGGTATGAAATCTATAGACAGGACAGGGAGGGACATGGAGGAAGGTGTTACATTGTATATCAAAGAGAGCATAAATAAACTATAAAATATCAGGGCAATGAATACCCTAACAGAATCATTACGGGTGGAGATACTAGTCCCTACAGTTACTTAAAAGTAGGGGTGCATTTCCAATACTCCCTCTAATCTGTGGAGTCTTGTGAGCAAAAATTCTGCTTTATGAGCTACTGGTATTAAAGCTGTGAGGAAGCGATTTGGCTACTGCATAAATTAGTTTGCTCTGGAGTCATCCTTCCTGAGCTAGGAGAAAAATGTGTGAGCCAGAGGCTAAAAAACTGAGCTAGCTCACACTAACTTGGCGTAGAGGGAACACTGGATCCCCTTCCTAATCAAACCCTTGGGGCTAATCTCAAACTGAAGAAGGAAATAAGGGAAGAGACTACAGCAGTTAATGTTGTGATGCATCAGTGATGTTGCCCAGAAACACTCTGGTATTTGGAGCAAAGCTCTATGGTTACCATAAAGTTTTCTCCAGAATACCTGGTATTTGGGGCAAAACTCTATGGTTACCATAGAGTTTTCTCCAGAATACCTGGTATTTGGGGCAAAACTCTGGTATTTGGAGCAAAACTCTATGGTTACCATAAAGTTTTCTCCAGAATACCACCAGTGTCGCCATGCAGCATTAATGACATGATGACATCACTTCTGTGTGATGTCCTTACATTGCATTTGGGGGCAGGGTTCCTCGCTGCTGAACAGCTGGCTGGTGGTGGGGAAGAGGCCTGAAAATCGGGGGATCCCCTGCCCTCAACTGGGGAATGGCATCCCTATCCTAAACATCATAAATGACTGCACTGAAACAGTTGGTCACAGAGCCTTCCAGAGTGGTGGTGATTTTGCACCTGGTTCTGAGCAGGGCTCAGGACCTGGTGCAAGATGTAAATGTTGTTGCAACAATTAGGAGCACAATATTATTAAGTTACCCCTAAAGTTCAAAACTGTAACATTTGATTTCAAATGAAAGAACTTTACAAAAATGAGGGGAATAGTTAAAAGGAGTCTGAAAGAGAGACACAAGTGAGTCAGGTCCCTAGAGAATGCTTGGAAGCTATTTAAAACCACAGTAATTGAAGCCCAGATAGGATGCATTCTCTGAGTTAGGAAAGGTAATGCCAAGTCTAAAAAATGCCTGCATTTTTAACGACCCAATTCAAGGAAGCCATGAAAGGCAAAATGGCTTATTTTAGGAAGTGGAAAGCCTGCCCCAATGAAGTGAACAGAAGGGGTCACCAGCTCTGCATGGCCACCACATATGATAAAAGCGATAGATTTCTGGTCAAAAATTCATTGTGAAATGCAGAAAATGTTTAAGTGTAGTTTTAAAAAAGAAGCAGAGATTTTATTGTTAGGATTGAAAATGGAAGAGTTAAATATACAAAAAAACCCTATGTTCTGGTACCTGATAACAACGGCGAGAATGGTGTATGCACAATGCTGGAAACAAGAGAAAATGCCCGAGATCTCAGACTGGATTCAAAAAGTGTTATTTATGGCAGAAATGGACAAAATAACAAGAAAGTTGAGTAACAAAGAAGATCAAGAATTTTTTGAAGACTGGAAAGATTTTAAAGACTATCTAGAGGAAAACTGGGATGTTAAACACAATTTATTGTATCTAGAACAATATTGATAGAAGTGTTATCTTTAACATTTAAGCAATTTTAAGATGTTTAAACAAATATAAGTATTGTAAGGGAAAAAGGGTTGAGCACTGTGGGAGGGGTCACCAGCTCTGGAAAAAGACGTGTAAGTTAATAATTAAGAATGCAAAAAGAGAATTTAAGGAGTGAAGTGCTAAAAGCATCAAGACAAACAATAGGGACTTCCAGTTTTCGTGATCTAATGGCGGACACGTCTCTTGGGAGCTCCCAAGAATGCAATCCGTGAGCCAGCGGATGGAGAGGGGGTGTGACTGTACGCGTCCCCCTGGAGCCCTTGCGATGGGTTCCTCGCCATGGGGTGGCGAGGATCACCTCTCTCCTGGCACAGAGCCGGTGGATTGAGGCATTCTGATGCCCGATGGTCTTGCTGCTGTGTTCCAGTATTGGACTGAGAGATGCACACCGGGACAAGCGAGTGGAGGTTGAGCGCTTTACACGTTTGATGAGATCTACCTGATCTACATTGAGAGTGAGTTTAGTTGAGACAAGAACCAGAGAAATGGCTGAAAGTCCCCCCTAAAGTAAGCGAGGGGGGGCGGGAACCCCTCTGTGGAAATAAAAATGGACTTAAGGCATGCCTTTTAAAGGGGGGCGGAACTGAAAGCAAAATGGGACTATAGTAAGGAACTTACAAGAGATTTACAGGCAACTTGCAGACTTCAGAGACTTTTGGCAAACTTTTCTAAATGTAAACAGCTTCAAAAATGTCACTGAAGAAGATGGAGAAAGATAGGCAAGCAAAACCTAAGCCTTCTTAAGGAAATGCCAGCCCAGCGAGCTGGGACCGGAGGCAACCATAGACTTCTCTAAGATGCTAACAGAAGCTTTGCGACCCCTGCTGGAGCAAATGACGACACTCAATCAAGACTTCACTGCACAGCAACAGCAATTAGAAGAGACTAAAAAAAGCAGAGCAAATGGCCGAGAATCTTAAAGAAGTGGATGCCAACACCAAAAAGCTTAAAAAGCAAATGCAGGAGATGGAAAAGAAGAGAAATTCTGATGAAGTCCAGCTTTTACAGCTTCAAATGTAAAAGGCAAGCTATACTATGAGATTTCAGGGAGTTCCTGAGATTGAAGGGGAGAATCTTAAGCAGTCTGTGAGTGATGCCCTGGGACTGGTTGCAGATTTAAAAGCAGATTTTCTTCAAGGCAAGATGGATGTGATCTATAGGTCGTATTCAGAATACATAAAGAAAAATAATCTGCCCGGTGAGGTGATGGTTAGATTCTCCCGAAGACATATGAGGGATCAGATATTAAAAGCAACAAATGGAGCTACCCTTAAAATTGATGGCAAGGAGATAAGAGTTTTGAAAGACATTCCCTTTGAAATAAGGGGGTGGGGAAGGAAGAAATACAGAGACCTGACTCTGTTTTTGCAAAAGAATAACATCTCCTACAAATGGATTGTACCTGAATGCATACTTTTCAAATTTAAAGATAAGAGGGGGGAAATTGACTCTGTTATGAAAGCACGTGAGTTCTTGCAGCAACAACTGGATCCAACAGGGGAAGAGGACGAGAAGAACAACAAGGGGAGTGATGATGGAACACTTACTGGAGAAGACTCGGATTCGGAACGTGGGGTGGCTGCCCCCAAGCAAGGATATCAATTGAAAGACAGAAGAGGCAAATGAGATGTCAATTTTCTCTGGTTTGGTTTTGCTTCTTAATATTTAAGCGCTCTTTGTTTTGTTTTTTACTAAGGCAGAATACCTGGACTTGAAATTCTTCAAGCGACCTTAATGATCACCTTCAATGTAACAAATTAATCTTTTTTACTTAAAGCTAATTCATTGTAATCATTATATGACCACCACCTCTTGGGGTTTTAGTGGTTTATCTTTACTTTCTCCTGTAGTTTATAGTTTCCCTTTCCTTATTTTCTTGTAGTTTTGTGGAAAAGAAATTTTAAAAAAGACAAACAATAGGCATGTCTTTAAATATAACCAGAGTATGAAACCAGACAGAGTAGCAGTTGGGCCTTTGTACGACCAAGGAATAAAAGGATTGCTAAAGGAAGATGCCAAATGAATTATTTGCATCTGAGATGACTAAGGGAGAACATTCTCCCTCTCCCAAAATATTAGGACTCATCCAATAAAATAAAAGAGAGGTGATGGCTAGTAGATTCAGGATAGTCAAAAAGAAATACTTCTTTACTCAGCAAATGATTAAAATATTGACTTAGCTGTCAGAGGACACAGCGATGGCATAGACAGCTTTGAAAGGAGGATTATTATTACAGAGTTTGGTCTGGTCAGATAGGAAATTTACTATTACAAGAATCCCAAGGAGCCATAGTCGCTAGTAGCCATAGTGACTAAAGGGAACTTTTTCACATTCAAAGGCAGTAAACCTCTGATTACCAGTGTCAGGAGGCAACATCAGGGAAAGTCTCAACCTCTATGCCCTGTTGTTGACTCCCCAGAGTAACTGGTTGAGCACTGTGTGAAACAGGATGTTGGACTAGATGGACTCCTGGACTCTTCTTTTGTTTTTAATGGTAAAGGAAAGCAAGAATGATTTGGGAGCAGAATCAAACTGCTGTTCTCTACTCCTCAGGCAGGAGCATGTCTTTTACAATTTTACAGTATGAGTTGGCCCTGTACAGGATGCTATTATCATAGGCAACAGGGAAGGAAGAGCACATCTTTTCCATATCTGTTAAAACTCACCGTATTCTGCCCCTTCTACCAATGCCATAGGTGCTAACCAAACTTTCCAGAATGCCAGAAGGAAGAGTTAGTTCATGCTTTTTGCAAATCAGCTCTATCTGCAAAATAAATAAATAAATAAAAACTGGCTGCTGCATGGTTTTATTATTTATTTTCAAACGCATTTCTGCTAAAGCAATCAAGGTACTTTAGAATTTAAAATAGTGACTATTTAGATTCAATACAAAAGGAAAATGGTGTGAGAAGGAAAAGAAAATAAAGAAAGCAGTTCATGGGAAGCAAGATTTATTATGAGTTAGAGAAGTGCTCATCAGTGTAACCAGTGGTATTAATGACAGTGGGCATATGCTTTTGAAATGCTGAGCACCCAAGTCCCAAACTCTGGCCATTTAGAAATGTTCCAATTAACTATGATTTGTTGCCATACAGGCATGCTGGACATATTTGTCATAGATTAGCAAGATGCCTGTCAACAGTATAATTTTGGATTTTTTAATGAAAGTCAATGGCTTACATTTGTGGTCCACAAAGAAAATAAAAAGGCTTCCGTTGACAGCATCTGTCAGGTGAGCGATGAACTCATCCATGACAGCTACATGATGGGGAATGCAAACTGGGAAGCAGGAGGAGGGGAAGGGGAATCGGCCCTCTTCTCTGGCTCCTTTGGATTCTTGTAATAGTAAATTTCCAATGTGACCAAACTCTGTAACAGTCAGACTATATGTTCATTCCTGATATAGAAAAAGAGGGTCACAACACTACAAAATCAACATGACCAAAATATATGAACTGGTGTTTGTGTGTATGACACTGTACTTGTTAAAAAAAACCCAAAACAAAACAAAAAACCTCTGCTTGTTGTTATGTTTCAAATGCATATTGTACCATGTTAAGCCAAATACTACTTTTAAGGTTAATTGTTGGATCCACCCATCCTTCCATGTCACATAGTTTCATTTTTTTTAAATGATATGTTAAAACTATCGGTGGTGCATTATAAAAATGGTTGTTATAGTGATTCAGCATTTCTAACATTCAGAATCAGCACTCAAAGATAGTTATGTTCATATCCCTAAAGACTAGTTCTCCAGAATTCATACCTTTCCTTACTCAGGTATTTCTTTATGATATGACATATAGTGACAAGAAGGAATTTGACAGCCAGACGTACTGAAGTGATTGTTTTGTGATTAAAAATCATCATGTTCTTATACTGTAAGAGTGAGCACTGAGCACCCTCTGAATAACACCTACAATGAGCTGTGAGTATTTACCTCAGACAGTGAAAGAAGACCAGAGCAACTGTTGTCTTGTTGAAGAAAACTCAGACTTAGTTTTCCTAAGTCTAGTTTTTTCTTCTGTTCCTTCAGTATTTGCTTCAAGACTTGGAATGCATTTTCTGGAGTCCAAGAACTAACGGAACAATAATGTATATAATGAAGGGGCAATGTAAAAGACCTCATTGTATTATTGTTACAGCCAGTTATTTAATTCAGAACTATTTTGCATAATAGCTATTGCCAGCCCTGGTGCCTCAATTTAGGTTGATGTTCTGGTGCTATATCTTCAGCTGTCTAATACTACTGTTTTTGAAAGGTGCACCATATCAAGGTGTTAGTCAAAGTTAGGACTGGTCCAAGGGTTTTGGACATCCTAGACTAGGGTAGCCAAGCCGGCCCCTCCAAGCCATGGAGAAGTGAGAAGATATTGCCCATCTTACTAGCCCCCTGCTGGGCCACAGGGAGGTGAAATGATGGCACCTCCTTCCTTCCCATGCTGGGCTGCAGAGATAATCTGCTGCTCCACACCACTTTTCCCTTGGTGGGGGTCAGGGGTCAGCAGCAGGGCACAGTGGTGTCCACCCTCCTTGCCCCATGTGGCATGTCAGGAAGCTGCCATCCTCCTCCTCACCCCATATGGTGAGTCTTAGTGAGACATGGCAAAGGGAAGGAGGAAAAAGGCTGGGCCCACATCACACCCCTGATGGAGGAAGGGAAGGAGGGTGCAGACTCCCTGCTGGCCATCCACTGGGGTTTCTTCCAGGACAGACCGAATGCCATGGTTATGCCCCTTGGGAGGGTAAACAGGATGTTTTACCCTTTAAAATATTTGGAATTTTAAAAATTATAATAATTACAATAAGAAAGGAAAACATTCCAGTGATTTCAGTGACATTTATTTTTGTGAAGTGGATCTTATATACTGTTATTAGCTGAAGGAGAATTTCCCCCACCCTTTCCTTGTCAACTTGCTGTGCCTCTTAAAGTCATGCACCTGGGGCCAGTGGACCCTGGCAAAACTGTGAGGAATGAAATGGGAGGGCTGTGCAATGGAAGTGTAGAGGAAGCCCAGAAGTTCAAATGATCATGTATTGATTATTGCTGGGATTCCAGAGGGCCTCTGGGAAAGGACTTTGAGAATTTTCCAGACATAAATGGCAAATTATTAACCACTAAGCAGAATTGTAGAAACAGGTGTTTTATATCCAACTAGTAGCAAAGCCCGTTGTAGAAGCAAACAATACAACGAGATCTAGAAAGTAGCTTACAGGCCTCTCTCTGTGCAATGCATTTTCACTGGCCTTGGCCAGGGAGTGCTGTCCCCAGTTGCTGAGCGAGCATAGGGGCCCATGGAGCTCCCGAATCTCGGCCTGGCCCTCCCTCCTTGGCCACTTTCTCCTCCATGGTGCTGGGCCATGGGAAGTGCATAGAAGAACTCCATCTAGATCCGGCTTTCACTCTATCCCGCTGAGAAGGGGGCTGCACCCACCTCGCCTTCTGATAGGAACTTGGTGCGGGCAGCTAGGAACTCTTGTGCCTTTGAATGGGGGGAAGACCCATGGATTTCCTGGGTGGTGGCACACCACACAGCAGGGTGCAGGAGCGGAGCCGGTGCTGGGCACCTGGTGGGAAGGGGCTGACACCCTTAAACGACTTGTACTAGAGGGCAGTGGAGCAGCCAGGGAGAGGTGGGACCAGACAAGGAGCAGAGCACGGCAGTTCTGGGCTGGCTTCGGAGCTGGGCACGCGGGGAGCAATGCAGCTGCTGCCCTGCAAGGTAAGCCTTTCCCCAACGAGCCTGGCGGGGCACCTCTGCCGCCCTCCACCTGGCCGCCATCCCCTCGCTGGCTGTTGCTGACACCACCACCATCAGCCATCTGTTCCACACTTGCCTTCCGAGTGGAGGAGGACTCAGGTTGTCACACTTAGGCTGTAGGTGGCGGGGGACCCAGAGTGAGCACTGGGTGGGCTCCCCTTGAGTCGGAGGTCCCTCTTCCCCTGGCCCTTCTCGAGGCCCTGGACTCTCTCCTGTGTGTTGATTGTGTTGTTCTGCACTGTTTGAGGCACTGGCTACCTGTGGAGTGTCCGTCCTGCCCATCGCCTCTCACAACACTGAGGCCGAGACACTGGCTGCCCCTTCTGTGGGTGGGACTCCAGCAATGCAGCCACTGGATTGGCACATTGTTAGAGTGACAGGTCAGAGAGCCAAATGCTGTGGGAGTGTGTGGAACGTTCACCCCCAAACAGAATTATATATAAGGAGATATTTAATTGACAGAAGAGGAATTTTCTAATGACCAGGTGTTCTTATGTCAGCAAGCTTTTTAATTAGGATGGTACTTTTTACCACCATTTACCACCTAATCAGCTGTCATAGTGATCTATGTTCAAGCTCTCTACTTCAAAAGGAACTATAATGGTTTAACTTTAAATAAGAAAAAATTCAAATGAAGCTTCTCTTTTTCTGTTTAAAATGTTTTAACATATAAAAACTGAGCTATTGGAATTCATAAGCAATGTATATATATCTGCCTTTTAGCAGCTTATTATTTTAAAACAAAAAAGGATTGTTTGTTTACTTACATAGAGAAATAGCTATACACTAAATGAACTGAGCTGGCAAGTGATACCCAGTGAAAGGAATTTAATAATTGGTCAGAAAGACGAATTGGGGTGAACAAGACGGTAATTGTATATCCCCTCATCTGACTTGGTGTGCATTTAAAAAAGTAAAATACAAACTTTATATATTTATATAATGGCTGAAAATGAAAGTTTATGGTATAAAATATTTCTGAATGTTTATAAAAAAGAGAAAACTAGTTAAATTCTTAATTCTCTAATAAGGAACTGTGCTTAAGACTGGCAAACTGCCGACAAGCAGAGGTTGGGATATGGACAAGGACAGTTCCAAAGGCTAACAAGGTAGGAGCGATTAATCATGCACACCTGTCATTAATTAGAGACCAACAAAGAATGCAGAACTTATGTTAGACAAGAGGGACCCGTACTGACCAAAGTAAAACAGCATATTTCACAAAACCAGAAGCTTTAATTTAGATTTAATACTTTATAATATTCAGCAAAAATCTTCTGATGGATTAAAATGAAGACTAACAGATGGATTCAAGGTATCCATGAAAGCTTTATGCCATAGGCTACTTTGAAATATTAAGATAGTGAATATAAAGAGTTTAATTTTTTTAAATATAAGCATAATCTTATATCTGTCATATTTTATGCAAAAATAATCTTACAGAAATGCTTTAAAAGTGCTTTTATACACATATATACATGTATCAATGTAGAGAAACCATTTTTGTTATGGGAAGTTAGATTTTGTATTGAGAATGAACTCAGCCTAAAAGTTCATTCAAAGGTGGAGCAAGTCTGGGAGAAAAGCCAGTAAGAAGCATTAATCATTTTTAACAAGATGAACAACTGCACTGTAAGGCTGTAACGCAGCCAGGTTGCCTCTTGTTTGACAAACGCTTGATAAATGACTGTTGAGACAAAGAAACTTAAACTGAGCATGTGCAGATGATGTCAACAATGATGTAAAATTGGGAGGAGCAAGAAAAGCATATAAAAAAGATCCCTGCTGTTACTCACCAGACATCTGAGCTGAATTTTTGGCTGTATAGTGTCCCTTATTCGAATAAAACTTTTTTTTACCTTTTTACTGCCTGGAATTGTCTGTCTCGCTGCATGGTTTATTGGCTACCCATGCAAGTCAAAGAACCTTAGTGCCCTCAGGGCGTTGCCTTCAATTTGGCAACCCAGATGGGACAAGACTTACCACTAGCTGTACCAGGGCACAGTTGGATGAAACTCAGAACCTTCAGCAGCCACACCAGGACCCATTGAGTCCCCAGGACTGGGAAACAAAGTGAATTGTTGTTCCTCCTTTTTGGAGACAGGCAGTAAAGGGTGAGAAGACTGCACAGAGAAAGAATCCTCCAAGCCAGCTGGTGAGTAGTGATTGAAAACCAGGGAAAGGGGCTAGGGGAGGAAAAGGGAAAGGTTCAGTAAATAAGTCTAGATTAAGACTCTGATGAGAGCACTAGCACACTGACCAGCACAGGTGGAAAAGGGAAAGGTCCAGTGAATAAGTCTAGATTAAGCCTCTTGATGAGAGCACTAGCTCATGAACCAACATGAGTGAAAACTTTTCCAAGCAAAGAGATTGCAATGTTTCCAAAGCTTCTATGTAAAGGAATCCAGCTCCTTTGGAGTCAATGGTTAAGAATTGGTCCACAATTGTGGGGAAGAATGAAGATTTGTTAACATGGCCAGTCAATCGCCTCCTTCATTATTGTGCTATTGAATGGTCTTTTTATACCTCGGATAAAGGGGGAAATGGCCTGATCAGGGATCTTTAGATTTTGATGTGGTGAGCAACTTGCTTAATATGTGTAACAGGGAGGGGAAGGAGGATGAAGTGAGATATGTGAGATATTGGATACATGGAATAATGACAAATGGCTTGTTAAATGTTTGTGATTTTCAGTCTAAGTGGATTTTGCAAATGTTGACTAGGAATTTTAAATGTATGCCTGTAACATTCTCCCCCAGGGAACACAAACCTTTAAAGGACCCCATTGTTCCCAATGCCCCACCCCTTCCAGGGAAAGATGATATGGACCCTTTAGATGGGTTGAGAGGGGCTGCTAGTCCTACTCAAAGTCTGTATCCCCCACTACATCTTCCAGGGCCTCCTTAGTGCCCTCAGGGCGTTGCCTTCAGAAGTGAGGAATCACTGAAAATTGCCTTTCCACTGCCTTCCACAAGGAAACAGAATTAAGATCCAAGCTTTTGTTTGGAATCCCACGGAAAATTGCAATGGTGCTCACAGGTTCACAAAAGGTGGGGACCCCTGTTATTAAGTATGAAGCCATGTAGATCCATGTACAGCTATTAGTTCATGCTGTTAATGTGGGGGGCAGGACTCATTCCTATAAGGTTCACCATGGACGAATTATGTGTTACATTGGGAAATCTGTGGCCGGATCTCCCAATATATTTTTAATGTTACAAAGCAGTTACAGGGGAACTCTATCTGAATTGGGTCCACAGTGCAAAGCAGAGGAAAGGTCTGTCCTTACTATTTTCTTGATAGTATCTGTCTTTTCCCCCTGTCAGAGCTAATAGTAACTTGGGGGGGGGGGCTTTCTGTTTGGAAAACAGAACCTGGGAAAGAACTCAAACATCTTTAACTCCCATAATAATGTTTGTGTAGAGTTGCCAACCTCCAGATGGTGGCTGGAAGTCTCCCACAATTACATCTGATTTCCAGGCAACAGAGATAAGTTCACCTGGAGAAAATGGCCACTTTTGAAGGTGGACCCTATGGCATTATATCCCATTGAATCCCCTCCCCTCCCCAAACTCCACCCTCTTCGGGCTCCACCTGCCATTCTCCAGGTATTTCTCAACCCTGAACTGGCATCTCTAGCTTTGATCCAAATAGTCAGATTCAACAGCTGCTTTTTTAACATTAAAAAATACACTAAAAGATTTAATCAGGAATCTTTCATGTAATGTATAGTTCAACCCAATTACTGTTTCTTTTTCTGTCTGTAAAATCAAATCTTCTACTAGTCAGTATTAGTTTGAGGCTCTGATAAATTAAAAATTACAACAGAAACATTACAGCTGCAGGTCATATATCATAAATAGGCCGAAGGTTATTTTAGACAAAGCAGAGCATGTTTATTCTGCTAAAACTCCACATGTTAATTGATTCTGCACTGATTAATTCCATATTTCTGGGAATTAATGGATCAGTTGGCATGAAATTTAAATGTAAAATAATACCTTTTCTTACTTGAATTCAGAGCCAGATTCAGCCTCCCTAACCTTCAGGTCTGTAGCCAGGATTTTTAATTAGAGGGCTGGAGGGAACAGCATGCCAGGCTCTGGCAGGACACTCAGCAACAGGGCAAGGGGGAGGACGAGTGGATGCTGATGTGCCATGGAAGCTGAGTGCCATGGAGCTGGCCTCCACTGGCACTCTGGCTCTGGCCAGGCAACGAGGCGCAGGAGGAGGAAGAGGAGGCAGAAGAGGAGGAGGAAGTGTTGCTGAAAGTTCCTGTGCCACACTGGGCACGGCAGGGGAGTGCAGGTCAAGGTCCACTGGCCTCACTTCACCTGCCAGCCTGGCTGGATGGCTGGCTGACTCACACCGCTTCCTATTGTGGCTGCCCCATGCTACTGCCACCACCAGCTCAGGACCCACAGCCCCTCCCTTCAACCACCATCCTGGGATGGAGCCAGCGGGGCTGCTGGCAGGCAGGGAAGTCGCCCTGCCCCTGGAAGGGCTTGGGGAAGGGGCAGTGGTGGGGAGTCCCCTGGGTGGGGGGTCCTGGGCTGGAGGGGAAGTAATGGGTCCTTGGCAGGAAGTTGAGGGGCCAGGCCCCAAAATGCCCCACCATAGCTATGGGCCTGCTTGTCTATGGCCAAAACTAGATATGCAGATTTTTGAACAGCTAGGCCCAATTTCCCTGGACCCAACTCTGGTTCTAGGGTTGCCTGGGTTGAGAAATATTTTGGTTTTTTAAAAAACACAGCAAGTGTCTTCATGCATTTTAAACTTTTTAAAAAATACACTCTGCATTTTAATTGTGAGAGCAAAAACCAGAAATGTAGCTGGTGTTCATCTGGTTACATGGGAAATATGGTCCTCAGGTTTTCCCCATCCAGATAGGGATATACTGGTATAAGGCAGATGGAACTTTGCATACAGATGTTTTCAATGGTCCCTAGGCTATATATATTAAAACAAACTCAGATTCTAGGGTTGCTAAACTGATATATATCATTTTAAAAAGCACTTGAAATGAATGCATATATCATTTCAGTCTTCCTTTGCCAAGGTCAATTAAAGGAAGTCTGCAGTAATTTTCACTGATTAATCCTAACAATCTGCAGTGTAGGTGTTCACAGACTCTAAATATGTTTCTTTAACAAGGAGTTTGGGGGGCTGCAAGAGAAAAATCTCTGTTCTTCAGTGCTATGTAAAATTATTTCTAATGTCATAAATGAGCCAGCCTTTCATTAGGAACTCATCAAAGCGGATTGTTAATGACAGCACTTATTAGATCTTAACCAGAAGGAAGATAAGGGGAGAAAAGTCCCCCCCCCCAGCAATATTGCTCATTTATTGACAATAATAAGTATATTGCAAATTAAAATAGAACCTTTCACTGTGATTCTTTGACTCTTGTCTCTTCTTTGGAAGGACTTGTGAATTTTGCATTTTACTTGCTGCCACTAGCGTTAAACAGTGGATCAGTTTTTCATAATTTACCTAAAAGAGAGGCAAAAAGGTTTAAATTCAAGAGATAATTTAAAATAGGGTTCTAACAGTTCAAAAACTGATTTGTGAAGTAGCAATTAAATACGGCTTTTATCTGAATTCATTGAAACTATTTGTGAGAAATTGGTTAATAAACAAAAAATAGTGTATTCTCTATTAAGTTTTTTACCATCTTTAAACCAAAGAATGCGGAATCTATCTTAATGTATAAAGGAGACATCTATGCAACAAATTTAGATTGATTGAATAGCTATTCCTATTTTTCAAGGAGTTAGGGAACTATTTCTTCATAACAGAAGGAATTAGAGACTGCTATAAGCAATTTATCTCCAAATTAGAATGTCTACATTTCCTAAAGGTGAAGCTAGGATAGTTAAAGTAGAAAAAACAGATTCAAGTCTGTACTGCACATGTGTGTACACGTGTATGCATTTATATTCCCCCTAAGTACACTAAACCCATAGAATCTGCATCCGGATGAGAATTTGTGACAGACTGTTCAGTGTTGCTGCTTCTTTTTCCTAGAAATTGAAACAAAACAGTAATGTTTATGCTTGTATAGTTGAATAAATCTTGTTTTAAGATTTGGACAAAAAGGCCCACCTTTATTTCGAAAGTTAAGAATCCCACTGACCCATAATATTAGCAATCAAGTCTAAACTTGATTGACCCTTAATATTGACCCATAATATTAGCAAACAAGACAATGCCTTTTTCCCTTATTATTTCTTTTTCTCTGTGCATTGGGTCAAAACAATTTGTTGTCACCCATTTGAAATGTTGTATTAACATACCAGTTCTTGATCATTTGCCTTGGAAAAGGTCTTGAAAAGAAGTTTGACTGTTGGTAGTTGCAGAGGGATTTCATGCTTTAGAAGAAGGCGGCTCAGCTGTGTCTGAGGAAGAAGCCCTGAAACTCTGGGATCCAAAACTTTACATGCATCCTGCAGTTTTTCTAGTGTAGTCAGACTCAAAGGATATATCTCTAGTTCTTTTCTGAGGAATGTCAGAAGAGAATCATTGTCTTCAGATGTCTCAGATGGTTTTTGCACAGTGTCCTAAGAGAAGTAATTATTTTAAATATGTAAGGGAAAGTGGTGATTAATGTATTTGCATTAAAGTGAACTCCTTTTAGTGCGTGTGTGGAAAACCTATGAAGAAAACATAAAAACTGTACAGAACAATAGAATTCCAAGGTGCACAGAGCCTGGGGAGGTCCCTGATGAAGGAAATACACCCAAGCTCATATCATTTTATTGCAGTTGGTAGGTTAATGAAGTGCCACCTCTTGTTTCTATACTCACAATTGTTAGTGGAGTCTGAATCCTCACTTCCCTCATAAAAATGCATCAAAATTGGTGTGAATTTTTAAAAATAGTTTACTCTGATTATAAGAAAGCAGTGCTGCCATCAGGACCAGACTTTGGGGTGAATATCTCACAGGCTCGATGGGGCAGGTGGGTGAGTCTCCACAGTAGGCTATAGCTTCACATTTAGCGTCTGGTCACACGGACGTTTACTGCGGGAACTTGCCTTAGACTAAAGTCTAACGTGACCTAAAGACACTGCTATATGAAAGGATGTTTAAAATGGATGAAGGGGGTAACTATTTCTTCTCAACTGAATGAGCATGCCAAAACATCACTAACTTAGATTTGCATGGATGTAAGTCTTGCTCATTTCAAAACACAGTCCCCCCCCCCCCCTGCCACCCCCAAATGTCTGCTTGGAACAACAGCTTTAACATTTTGTGAACTTGGTACTGGCCTGTATTTGTTTTCTGTATTATAAAGCTTGGGAAATCCCGGCAAACTGGGGGTGGAACTGGGGAAGGTGGGGTTGGGGAGAGGAGGGAGCTCGGCATGTGATGCCATACGGTCAGTCCACTCTCCAAAGCTTCTCCAGGGGAACTGATCTTTGTAGTCTGGAGAGCAGTTGTAATTTCAGGGGATTTCCAGGCTCCACCTGGAGATGGCAACCCTAAATTAGAAAACATCCCAGTATTTAAACAAACAAACAAAAACTCTAACGATCACTGCTAAACAATTTAAACTGCAAATTACATAAGCATAGGTTTTAATAATCCCATTAATTTACCTGTTGTCTTTCATGTTGCCTTAAAGTCTGGGCTCCAATAGATGGCTTTTGAAGGGTGTGCATATAGGACAAAGATTTATCTCCAGATGGAACAGAGACACAATGTGTATTTGGAAGGTTTACACCCTTGGGTAACAAACACACAATTAGAAGGAATGCAATCAAGAATAAACAACCTGTCCTACTTTAAAATAAATACTGGCACTGAAAAGTTTCAATAAGACCAAACAAAAATAGCGAAAATGTGTCAAATGGAAAATATTATGAGTTGGATCCTACCAGCATTTCTTTAGTTCCTTTACTAGTTTCTCCTGAATAAAGTTACTCTGTGTTGATCAAAAGAGACTCTGCATATTCCTGAACAACTGCAAAATCTTCCATGAGAAAATGTATGAAAATCAAGAATCAAGAATGTTCTATATAATGTGTTGCCATCTGCAATCTTTGCTACTTTACTGTTTCACCTGATTCCAGGCAATTTTCAAAAAAAGAAGAAAAAACTATTCTGGTTTATTTTGCAATTAATTATTTGTCCTCCAGTAAAGGTGTTAGTGGAATAAAAAAATTCAATCTAGGAAGCAACTTACTTTGGTCTCCACAAATTGGTCATTGTTTGTCTTTGCTTGTTGAGACTTGTGTCCTTCCTTTTCACCTTTGTTCTGTTGTTCATCATTTAGCCCACAATTGATTTGTTGACAAGGAGGCTTATTGAGACCTGGAGGGTTTCCATGTTTCTGTCTTGTATGACAAGGAGGTAGTGTTCTGAACATGGATTGAGTTTCAGCTTTCATACCATCTTTTGCTTTGCTGTCAGAAACAAGTGTGCACTGTACAGATTGATACATAGGCAACTGATCTATCACATCATTTTACATTACAGAGCAATACAGAAAATGTTTGCTTAGAAGTTTCTTGACTGGGAAGAAATGCAGTAGTTTTATCAGTGATGTTTATGAAGGGACAGTTGGAATTATTATGAGCAGGGGTCATTTCCTGCGGGAGCGCACAGGAGCGGAGCTCCGGCAGTAAGGAGCCCAGGGGGCGGGCACATGCAACAAGCCCTGCCCCCTCCTTCTGTTGCAGAGCCCCCCCCCGGCCCGCCTTCAGGTACAAGCTCTCCCTCCTCTGTGAGGGCAGATCTGCATGCCCCCCCAATAGCTAGCAATCCAAAACAGTCCAGTGGAGCCTCAGCGGTGGGTGTTGCCTTCTGACACACTTCCGGTGATTTCAGGGGGTGTGGCATATGCAAATAAGTTATGCTAATGAGCTCATGCACCTTTTTTTCTACGAAATGACCCCTGATTATGAGTATAGTTTGGAAACACAATATTTTTTAAAATAATCTTGGCACAATTCTATTTATTTTTGCTTAAAAATAACTTCAATGAAATCATAGTTTATGGATCTCACAATTTGTGGAGAATAATAATCTAAGAATGATAACAGAAAGAGTTTTTAAGTCAAATAAAAGTGTAGAAAAAGTGAGGCCAAAGCCTGTGCTAAAAGAATTGTTTTCACCTGTTGCCTAAAACCACGTATACTAGGTGCCAGGTGATATATATGCAGGGAGGGAGTTAGTTTGGTATAGTGGCTACAGTGTAGGGTTGCCATCTCTGGGTTGGAAAATACCTGGAGACTCTGGGGGTGGATCCAGGAGAGGGTGGGGTTTGGGGAGGGGAGGGACATCAGCATGGTACAATGCCATAGAGGCCACCCTTCAAAGCAGCCATTTTCTTCAGGGGAGCTGATCTCTGTCAGCTGGAGATCCGTTGTAAAAGCAGGAGATCTCCAGCCCCCACCTGGAAGCTGGCAACCCTACTACAGTGCCAGGCTGAGATCTGAGAGATCCTGGTTCAAACCCCCTCTTGGCCATGGAAGTTTGCTAGGTGAACTAGGGCCTGTAACACATTCCCAGCCTAACTAATCTCACAGGTTGTTGTCAGGATGAAAAGGAGGAGAGGAGAATTATGTGAGCCTCTTTGGCTCCCCATTGGGGAGAAAGGCAGGGTCTAAATGAAGTACAAAGAATAAAATAAACAAGGCACCACCATAGAAGGCGTTGTTTCGAGTTGTACCTTCTCATTTTATAAGGTGGGTTCTCATGGAAAAGAGTCTTAACACTTATCTATGTATCATCATCATCATCATTATTAGCATTTTTAAATGACCCAGTGACTTAGAACAAAATGGAAACAGGATCAAAAATGAGCATATTGCAATTTAAATAATAATTTACTGAGACTAGATGAGTGGCAACCTGAGAAAAAGCCTTCTTTACTGTGGGACCAAAACTTTGGAATGCTCTCCCCAGGCAGATTCATCTGTCTCCGGTGTTTTTTGCTAGCATATGAAGAATTTTTTGTTTCATCTGACATACCCCCAATAATGGTAATTGGCTCTCCTTCCAGTATCATCTGGTTATATGTTTTTAATTGAATTTTATGTTTAAACTGTATTTTGTTTAAAGGTTTTAGTTTTTATTGTTTTCTACCTTGTGGACCCTGATTGGGTGGAATGGTGGCATAAAACATGCTAAATAAATATAGATTTAGATCATATTGTAATTTAATAGCCCTTTCCAGTTATTTCTAAAGTTAATGACAATTCCATTAACAGGAGGCAAAGGGTATTTTTCTCAGAAATTATACTTACCTATCAGGTTTTTCTACCAGGTATTTGACATATTTGCTCCCAATGATTTTTATGACAGTCTCATAATTTGCATTGAAACCATAAGGGATGTTTTTGATAGAAGCCATTGACTGCAGAAGACCACGTTCCTGTAATTTCAAAAGGCATACCTTTACTGATTCCTTAGAAAGGAATCTCTGTCTATTTCTCTTTAAAAGCAGAACTGAAAATAGTCAGTGGCTCTCAGATGTTTTAGGACAGGAGTCTAATTAATTTCGTTGGGTCCTTAACATATATTAAATTAAGGACCTCACCCAACAGTATGAGTTGTAGAGGACTCAAAAGCAAACAAATGATGTAAAAAAGGAAGCTTAGGGTAATAAGCTGCACATGCAAAAATGCAGTTACAAATAGCTGGGTAATTTCTACTGGATATGAAGATTTTTGTTCTTATAGAATTTTGTCTTTCTTTAGGATCTATGCATCATTGAAATGATACACCTGCAAGCCACACACATTTTAGTCCATTTCACCCAACAGTCCAACTTCAGTAAGATCCATATGAATCTCATCTGAGGAGTTAAGTCATTCCATTTCAGAAGGAAGAACCAGTCTGTTATTATTTGGGATCTGTACCACTTCAAAAGGTATGACAAACATTCAGTTACTGCATCCTAACCTGCTGTTAAGGAACTCATTTTTAGAGACCTGAGTCAGAGCAGCTGTAGTTTTGAGCTACTGCAGTGCACCAAAAAACAGGAATGATTCTTCAGCCCTGTTACATAGGTCTGGGTACATAGTCTGTACTTTTCACACTAATTTCCCATCAATTCCTTTTTAAAAAACATTTTTTACAGGTTAGAAACATAATGCCTCTGTACTAGGGTCCTTGGAATGACAATGCCTGAAACTGATAATGTACAATTTTCAGGTAATTTGGCCAATTAAACCTTTGATGGGGAAATTGTCACAGATACAAATGCCCAAATGAGAATTCCCTAGCAGACCATAGACCTGTTGGACTTTTCTGGAAAACTCCTAAGAACCCTAAGAAATTACTAGCTCCAGAACCCTCAGTCTGATGCTGAAGCTCTTGAAAAGAACATCCAGGAGAAAAGGAGATTCTTCAAGACATCTTTGTGCTCAGTGCAAGGAGCAAGACATACAACTATTGACCCTAGTGCATAGTTCTCTAGACTGGTGAAGGTCTGCTGCTCCCTGAAGTACCTCTTCAGTATCTACAGTGAGACCAGCACTTCATTTTGAGTTTCTGAATGTGTCCATATTGAACCATCTGAAAATTAACTTATTAAACAGTCAACAGTTAAACAGTTCACAGTCAGCAAAAGTACCATTTTAAACAAGTATTTTCTACATTCTTATAAAGGACTGGGAGCACCCACCTCTGTTAAGTTCTCTATACTGACTTGCGTTTTTTTTAAAGACAAAAGGTATCCAGTCACAGCTGCAGCCGCACCAGGGTGAGCGAATGGCTTTTCATTCTCCACTGGGATAACAAATCTGCTGTAACTAAGGACGCAGTGTGGTTGCTAGGCTGGGCAGAGTGTGTCACTCCACAGTAAATTAAGCCAGCAGGAGGCATGTATTAGCTTCAAAATGATCAGGTGGGAAGACTCTTTGTCTGGTATATGAATAATGTTTGGGTTCAGTGGCGCCTTTAAGACTAACATTGGACTCAAACTTTGTTCTGCTGGTTCAGACCAACACGGCTGCCCAGCTGAATTTTTCCTGGTCTATGTTATTCCAAATGCTCAGAGATCATGTCGAGTTGTGCACCAATGTGGAGGCAACCCTCAGATGTTTGAGCAAGACAATGAGACTGTGGACATTTAGAACATGCAGAAGAATTTACACAATTAATCCAAATATGCATAGACAGAGGTAAATGATTCAAATAAGTTAGCTACCAAAAAAACAACAACACACCACAGAATTTTAGTAGAAGATGACAAAAGCAACTTCAGGGTCTCAGCCTACTATTTCAAACCAGAAATTTCAGACCACGAACTAAGAATAATAATGCCAAAGCCCTGGGACACAGAATGGAATATAAATCAGAAGGGAGCAATATTTCCTACTTATATCATGAAGGCTTAATAATATTGAATTTAATAAGGACAGAAGAATTACAAGCCTTCTTACTGGAGGTTAGGGTTGTAATATTGGATTTATATGACAAATAGATTAAGTTGAAGTGCTGAAGGAGCAGAACCTAAATGCAAGGGGATACAAGAAGAACAGGGAAAGATCTTTATTATGAGTTGTCATATGGACAAGTCCATCTAGAGACACTTCAAATTAAGGGATGTTACAGGAGCCAATATTATTTTGCAGGTATGATGGATGTGAAAAACATTATCACTGGTGCCTTTGCATACTTGCAAATAATGAGCTGTAAGTAGCACATGGATTTCCTCAGTGGCCAGCTCCATAGTAATAGTAATATTTAGATGAGATCCCCCTTCAACAGGTCCTTGGGCATGCCATGCTGGATCAGTACTTTACCTTCCAGAACCTGATACATTTCATTGCATGATAACTGGAACAGTTTTACTGCCTGGACTATCTGATAACAAGTGATTGGTTCAAATCAACATCTGTCTAAGAAAACACCTGTCTAAGAATTAAGTCCTGTGTCTTGTACCTTTTCACATCAAAATATAAACCAATGGATTACCTTATTACTTAGCTATGGTACAGTTTATAGCAGTCAGAGGCCTGCTTTGCAATGGCTCCGGGCAAATCTTCATCCCAGGTGCCAATCCTTTTAATTGCTGTAAGTACCACATGGATTTCCCCAGTGGTCAGCTCCATAGTAATATATTTAGATGAGATCCTCCTTCAACAGGTCCTTGGGCATGCGATGCTGGATCAGTACTTTACCTTCCAGAACCTGATACATTTCATTGCATGATAACTGTGGAACAGTTTTACTGCATGGACTATCTGATAACAAGTGATTGGTCCAAATCAACATCTGTCTAAGAAAACATCTGTCTAAGAATTAAGTCCTGTGTCTTATACCTTTTCACATCAAAATACAAACCAATGGATCACCTTATTACTTAGCTATGATACAGTTTATAGCAGTCAGAGGCCTGTTTTGCAATGGCTCCGGGCAAAACTTCATCCCAGGTGCCAATCCTTTTAATTAGAAATGAGACAAGGAACTGGAGCCCCCTTGCCACTTTGTTCCCTGAAATTTGCATGGTTATTAACACACAAGCTCCATTTTTAGGAAACTTGGCAACGCTGCCAGGTTGCATGTCAAGGAGAATCAGAACTTTCATATCAACGCCGCATGGATTTTCCTTCTTCTAAACTACTGTGCAATCTGTAATTTTTAACCTCGCGAGTTTAAGATTGTACCTTAACATTTGCGGGAAACAGATGGCTCCTGCAAGCTGCCAACCTGTTGTTAAAAACGTGTCTTCCAAGAATTGTTTTCTACCCATAGTTGCTTAGCATAATTAACCTTTCACATGATTTAATAAACAGGAACAAATATTTGCCATATCATAGTAATAAAGAGAGTCACTTAAGGACGCACAGGATTTCTCTCTCTCCAGAGTATGTTACAGTTCTTTTATATTTCTTCATATGGCTTTTAGAAAATTTCCAAGACATGAACGTGCTAATTAATGGTCACATGGCTCCAATGCTGATTCACACAGGATCATGCTCTTTCGAAGAAGTGAAGAAGAGATTGGATTTATACCCCGCCCTTCACTACCCAAAGGTGTCTCAGAGTGGCTTACAAACTCCTTTCTCTTCCCCTCCCCACAACAGACACCCTGTGAGGTGGGTGGGGCTGAGAGAACTTTTTCAAGGACAGCTGTGCCAGAGCTTGTAACTGACCCAAGGTCACATCAGCAGGTGCAAGTGGAGGAGTGGGGAATCAAACCCGGTTCTCCCATATTAGAGTCCGCACACTTAACCACTACATCAAATACAAAGCATTATTTCACGCAAAAATAAATCAGCAAAATCTCAAGGCAATGGTAGAACAGCTTAATTAACTGGGTTCTTGGCTTCTATACTGGAACCATACCCATATTTTTATTGCATACCACGTAGTTAACCATTTTATTTATTTTTTCTTGATTTGTTTCACCACACTGAGAATCAATATACTGTTATTTTTGTGTATAACATAATAATATGGTCTATTTTAACACTGCATAGATTTTTTACTATATATCATAACAATTCTGTTAAAATATGAAGTCTTAGTCAAAGATATTTATTTTTAGGAAAAGCAAGTGCAAACATGCCAGTGACAATGGTAGGACTGTCAGGGGATCAAATTCCATTTTATACCTTTCTCACCATTACAATTTTTTATGCCTCATATATTTCTAAGTGATAGTAAGAAAGTCTCACAGTGCTTTGACCTTTTCAGTATTCGGAAACTTTACTGACTGGTGGTTTCTGGGTGGAAAGAAATTTAGCATATATCAAGGTGATGGGCACTGCTGACAGATGTTAAGTGCAAGGTATTATTATTTTATGATTTCACTAATGAAAGGAAAGAAAGGAGAACTGAGAAAGCTCCCATTCAGAGACTAGCTGGAAAAAAATGATTAAAGTAGATGAAATGTAGCAAACAGAGATTAAAATGTAACAGACTAAATCTGTTGGGTAGAGTTTTTGCCTAGGGCTATGATTTTAAACTCATTTTGACAAACTAAATACATGAAGAATAGGATTGCTTGGTTTGTATGACTGTCAGATAAAAATGAATCCCCCTCCTAAGACACATTCAGAATACTTTATTTAATCATGCTTGTTTCTTATGAGTGCCATCCATTAGTGTGATTATGCAAATCAGATATTAATGATTCATTAGTAATGATGATAGGAGTCGCAATCCACTTGCCTGGTATGTACCATCTCTGGTGCACAGTGGACTTTAGGAATGGGCAACGGGTCTCCCAAAATACAGCTTGGCCTTTGAGGACTGGATGAACTTTTTTCTCAAAACCATACAAAGCTTTGAAAAAGGATTAGACAAATTCAAAGCAGTTCCATGTTTGGAGACTGTGTGCCTCTGATGATTGGACACAAGCTCCATAGCCATTTCAGGGTGTGTGATATCTACTGGCAC